GACCTGACACGACAATTGGTTCATCCTCAGGTAAAGACTTACATTCCAGCAGTTGTCCACCTCTGTAAATCCTCATCCTCTACTCCAAAGTTTAAATGTATTAGAGGGGGAATCTTTTCTATCATGGCAAGTGTATTCCAAAATCAAGCATTTATCACAGCAATTGCCCGGTTCATCCTTCCATTCAGGTAATGGCATTTCAGCTCAAGACACCAGCTCCTCCTAACCACAGCGGAGGCCCTGTATGAGAAGTTGCCTTACATATTCATGCTCTGCCTTTTAGATATTTTGCAAGTCAGCACCATCAGCTTCTGCCAGAAGACACGTCCAGGTCACGCCACAGCAGTCGCGCAGCTGAGGTGTTCACCGAACCTCAGTCGATCAGGAACACGACGTCCGACCCCAGGCAAAGCTCTGTTTGCTGCTTGCTCCAGACCTGCGCTGAGGGCTTGATGGGACGGCTTGCACCACTGCTTTGGAGTGTTGGCTTTGCTCTCCACTTGTCACTACAGGGGCACAAGGCGGGCAAAACAAACGTTATGTTTTTAGGGCAGTCAATCACTCCTTGAAGAAGGCATGTGCATTTAGCAGCAGGATAAAGCTTTTATGGAAGGCACCTGTATTTTTTTAAGTTTAGCAAACATACATATCCTACACAAATACGTTTGAAACAAATGTTAAAATCAGTAATTGAATTCAAGGTTTGGGTTTTGTTCTTTTAATTGCAGATTTAATGCGATTACCCTTGACTGTAGTAACTAGATGGATAACTACAGTCAGCAGAGGTGGAGGAAATATACCCTCCATGAACGCAGCAAGAAGGAACTCAATGAATCTGGCTTCATGCAGTGTTTCAAGAGCACCATCTTGTGGTTTTCCCTTTCCAGAACATATTTTATTTTTTTAAAATCTCTATACAACAGCATAATTTCCTCAAAAGGGTTGTCTGCCCTTGGCTTTAGGAGTAGATATTTTGGGAGGTGGGGAGGGAATTCTTATCACAATCTTAATCTAGATTCCTTTTTTTAAACTATGAGTCAGGGCAGACTTTGTATTTTTACCACTAAATATTCCAAGCTTTTTTGAGAGTGATCACTGCTCGAACTTTGAGTTTTAAACTTTTTTGTCAAACAAAACATTCAACATGCTAAAATGTCACTTCTTTGCGGTGGAGCCTTTGGCTAGTGACAGCACATCTGACACATGCTGCAGTTTTGCCACACGTTAGAAATCAGCCTCGGAGGTGAACAGCTAGGCTGTGTGCTGTGCTAAGGTGCCAGCAATTGCAGAGCTCAAGTAAGAGGTTTTTTTTTTTCTGTTTTGGTTCCTCCCATCCTTGGGGGGATAAGACTGTCCCACAGTCCTCAAAGCACAAAGGCTGCTGCTGGAGGGTAAATTACACTGATAAGTGCATACAGACTCGTCCTTGTTTTTACAAGTGATTATATCATCAGATTAATCATCATTATCTGACACTTCTCTCCAGCTTCTCTGGTCGCTGTGGTGGGACAGCTGAGATGATTGCCTTTAATGCTTTGCAGAAAGACGTAAGCATCTCGAGCAGCTCCTTGGGTTTTTCAGGACAGCATTGTAAGTGCAAGAGAGAAGAGCTGCAAAATGTGGATATTCAATATTGATTTCAGAAAGTCCTAAACCCCTGCCTCTGCCTGCCTCCCAGCTAGGGTCAGGATGAAGTTAAGGAATATTCTGGCTCCACAGTTGTTCAGGCCAGGGGGAACGGCCGCTAGCCACGGCAATTTACAGAGCAGAGAAACATCCCGCCCTTCTTCACCATGCAGAGCCATGCCTAGAGATAAGCAAGTAACTGGGAGAAATCTGTACTCTTGCACCAGCCAGACAGGGGACTCTGTCAGCCTGCTGGTATTTATCACGCCCCATAGATCTGAAAGGCGTATATAATGTGAGTAAGAAGCTTATCACGTTCCTGCAATGTGACTGGGGCTGCCAAACGTTGAGTCTGAAAGTGGTTTTGACAACCCAGCTGTAGTAGTTGGGGACAACTCATCTCCATATGGCAAGTGCTATGCTCTTATGCTAGGTACAACTCTCAGGTGATTACATATCAAAGGCAGGTTCAAGATAGGCTCAGCACAGACATTAACAACAATTTGCACCTACCACTTTGTTCCCACCTTTGGCACATAAATCACTCTCCTCAGCACTGGTTAGGGCACCTGCTAGTACTAACATCCAGCACCCTCACCCTCTGTAAGGAGCTGCTTTCTTGCTCAGCAGTAGATGCCAGCATGCCTGGGTGGGGACTGATTGTCCACTCTGTTTTTTTCTGCCGTACACCATTCACTGAAACTATTTATGAGGAGACCAACAATCATGTGGCTTTCAGTAGGATGCATAGTTTTTATTCAGGTCCAGTGCTCAGCATTGTTGGGCAAGGTTTCAGCTGTTGGGTAAGATTATCATACAGGAAGAAATAGCTGTGTGGCCACCACAGATCCCCATACTTCTCTTTAGAAATTTTGATAAGAAAATTGCAAGCATTGTTAACAGGTCAAGGTCCTTAAGGAGCTGTCACCCACCTGTTGAAGGCTGCGACCTTGAATGTCTATTCCGATTATTAACACTAAAGCTGGTAGGCAAGGGTCTGAGGATCAGGAGAAGACAAAAATGGTTGGGCAAGAGGAAAGAAACAGCCACAATGGTTTGCAGCAGACCCATTACAGCTTGGCCAAAGCTTCATTAGAAGTCAAGTAATCTGACCTTTCCATCAAGGTTTCAGGTAGAAGGTAGTTGCCTCTTATCACTCAGAAGTTAGTGAAAAATGTCTGTTTCTTCATATTGTTCATCTCCAGTTGTGACCACTGAAACCATGTAGTCCAATTCTTCCCCCTTATCTGGAGGTAACAAGGAATTTTCCCCAAAATTCTAAATTTCTACAGGAAACAAATGAACAAGCAGCTGTTCTTCACTCTCTCCATGTACAAATTGTTAGGCTTACTAGACAGTGGCTAGTTCCCCTTAGTAAGCTCAAAACCTGAAAAGGTAAACCTGCTAAGTTTGTAACATCCACACAAATTTTAATTCAAGATGTATCATACTCTGCAACACCAGTCTGAGTGTGGATGCCTGTGCCACATTTCTCAAAATCAATGTACAAAAGGGCAGTTCTGTCCAGATCACATTAAGGTATCTGTGCTCTTCAGGACACAGGAATTTCAGTAGACACAGGTGAAAATTTTCTAACAAACTTTTGCTTATAATATTTATCTATCTCTGCTCAGCCTACAGCCTAACAGACTCACTGTGGTTGCATGCGTATTAAGCCCCTGACCACTGCCTTTTCCTTGTCTCAAACAATGCTGGAGACACCAATATCCAGTAGTTGAGGGCTGTTACTTCCTATACAAACACCATTCTTTTTCTGGCCTGCAGGACTGGTTGGTAAAGGTGGTATGGTCTAATTACCAGAATAAGGTATAATAGGATGGAAGGCTTCTACCTTTCATTCTCAGATCTTGAGCACATCCATAAGTGGACTTAAATAGACAAAAGATTTATGGAATGAAAGTTCTTAATATAACTCAGCCAGCCTATTATTTTAAGTCTCAGGTTTAGGTTAGGAGATTAAGCTCGCCACATAAAAGCAGAATGCTAGAGGTCCTGCTCAACTGTTTCTACCACTGCTGTCACAAATAGAAAATTAACAAGTGCAGGAAAAGTTGCCATGCAGTATACAACTGCTGTCCCAGTTCAAGGAGCAGGACCTACAATGCTGCCTTCCAGTCAGGTATCTACCTACTAACGGGGAAAAAAACTACCCAAACCCCAAACACTTCCACGACCAATCCTTTTCTTGAAAGCTTGCCTTTCTTTGCTGTGGAATCACCAAGACTTTACTGACAGTGAGCTAGTTCTGCAACAGCAACATAAATTCAGCCAATAGAAAATTTTCCATTGAATGCGTTGGTTCAGAAACTGTCAGCAATTACTGCTAAGAGCCTTTAGGTAAGCTGCAGGAACGCAGCACAAGAATGGATTCCGTATGTTTTACACAAAAACAGGAGATTTGCTCTTTGTTAAATCAACATTTGAGAAGCACATACTAGAAAACTTGAGAAATGAGCATGAAAAGTAGTCTTTTAGGATGATAAATAGGAAGTCTGGATTTGCCAACCAAGTTGTTGAGAACAGTAATTTATTTTCACATTTACAAGACAAACATGAATAATATTTAAAGTAGTATTTACAAATATATACAAATATAAAAAAAATTATCTTATGATTTGGAAAAAACTGGCAAAGTATTTTTTTTAGCAGTATAGCCAAGATACAGTACTTTTTTTTTTTAAGTTGGAAAGGGTATCACCTCAGTTCAAGGAAAACCTGCAGTTTCTGAATGAAGAAGGAAGAGCAACAAGTTAAGATTCACAAAGGGTAAACTATCAGAGAAAATGGTATTATGAACTGTCACATTTTAAAATTAAGGCAAAGCCTTGGAGAAAAAAATCATAAAATCTAGACTCCCTCATAATTCTATGTTAAAAGGGATTTCACTCACCTCACTTGACATTCTCACTATAAATGCTTTTAAAAGACTTTTGACCAAGAGTAAACATTTAAATAAAACACAGTTTACGCTTCCCCCTTCTGGCATTCAAGAATTGCTAGGGTTACACATGGAAGACTACTTGCCAAAACTTTTGTTTTGTTCAATATTATTGTGGGGTGTTTTGAAGACTGGAACGCAATAGACAAATTGTCAAGACAATATTTAAAATGTTATTAGAATCCATATCCAGAATTTTCTTTTAAATTTATAGATAAGACTTTTTTAAATTGATATTTGTGATGATTCCTAGGAATTTCAACACGACCAAATAGTACAGAGGAATAATAAAATTAACCCTTTTTTTAATATAGAATAGCAGAAAGCATTTTCTTGTTTGATTTTCTTTGTGGATAACTTCATATCCTAAAAAAACTTCTTGGGACATCTGACAATCTGTACTGGGAGGGATGGATCACAATCGCCGTAGATTCTGTTTGCTTTTCTTAGTCCCAGGAAGCGGCCCTAGCTTAGAGTTGGGTTTCACTGGTTTGCAACTCATACAGTCACTGGAGCTGTGATAGCTGCACATGCACTTTGTGCAAAAGTCAAAGCCACAACTTTCACGATTGCACGTCGCTCTTTGTAGATAGGAGTCATACTTTGCAGGTGAGCCACAGCGATGGCAGACTTTAAGGCTTTCAGTGTTTTTCAAGGTCTTCGCAGCCTGTTGGAAAAAGTGTGTAAAGAAAATCATGAGTGGAGGGTAAATACACACCCCAAACTCTCCCTGACGTTATGTAAGTGCCACAAAATGTATTATAACTTCTCCTACTCTAGAGACATAAATTGCAAATTTAGCCTAATTCTGGTTGTATCAAATTCTGATGGAGAACAGGAATAATCAGTATATAACTGCGGGTACTTTGGACTGGAATAGAGGTAGCCAATTTAAAATTCTTTAAATTTTAAATTTAAAGGACAGACAGACTAAATGCAAAGCAGTAAGAAAAACAGCCCTCCTGAATCCTCCAAACCTCATCCAAGGATGGTGATTTAGTTAACGTTAATTTAAAAAGAGAAAATCAATCTGAATTCCATTTAAATCATTAACATTTTTGAAAAGTGAGCAATGCTGTGTCCAGAAATCTCAGCTTTGGGACTCTTGGCTTGAGATACCCAATGGAAGCAATTCCTACTTCTCTCCAATGAATTCATTTTTGACACAAACAGATCCACCATTCAAAATCATTCAGCATTAGAAAATTATAGACCTGTATAACACCTTATATCACTCAATTGTTAAAAGCAAAATGTTTCTATAATCTAAATGTGTGTGTATAGAAATATATATATTTATAAAAAAAATTTAGACTGCTACTTCACTGTACAGTTGAACTTTCAGATTCCTAATGCTACAAAGTACTATATAGTAGTATTAGAGCAGCTTGATCATACTTTCCAGTGCAGTTATATCATCTTCTCTTATTGCACCAATTTGCAGAACACGACTTTTGAGCTTGAGTATAAAAACTTTTTCTAGTTAGGAAAATCTGTTGCTTATTAACAAACAACAAAACTTTCAGTAAACATTTTTAAAAATCTTATAAGACACTCGCAATGTAGACCAGCACCAATATGTGGGGAAATAAAAAAGCTTAAGAAAAACAACAAGGTGAAGGGAAACCTAGGCTGTTGGCAGTTATCAGCAACTCCAAATGTGTGACACACTACAAATACATAGTTAAAAAAAGCTATTTTAATGTCAGATAATTAGTTGGGAAAAAAGCATATAATCAACAGGAGAAATATTCATTTGTTTAATTTTTAAAAAATAAGAACTATTTAGTCTTTGGTCTTTTTTTTTTTTTTTAAATTGCCCATCAGTGTTGAAGCAAAATTGACAGTTTTTGTGGGATTGCTTATCTGGAAAACATGTGATTCGTTATAAGCCCATAGCAACTAAGAGGAAACGATTAAACATTTTCATGCCTAATCCAAGCCAAAATGTAAACCAAAAAAAAAAAATCACTACGCCATGTTGAGGGTACCTAGACACCTGGAGGGGTGGGGAAAGATGTAGAACATCCCAGTGTATCAATATTCTCCACTTAGTTTCTGACATTGTCTTAAAATAGGCTCAATAAGCAAAATCTGGCAGCCATACTAATAAGAGTTACAAGCACTTCAAACTGGAGATACTACTTTCAGAAAAATGCTTTACAAGCTGATCGTGTGCCAGACAACATGTGAGAAATTAAAGATGAATGGAAACCACCAGTTACCTCAGAAAACTCCACATGCCTGCTGTGATTCTTAGATGCTTTGGATCTGGTGCCTTTTTTAATCATGTTGTTTGGTGGGGTTGCTTTCTGAATGGAAGCTAAAGCTGCTCGGTAGAGAACATACTCCCTTGTTGCAGCATCCTCTGATGCCTTAATGCCATTCTAATGAAAAGAAAAACAAGAACAAAATTTGAGAAGAGACTTATCTGATACTGACTTTTTGTTTAATAGAAGTCAACGACTTATTTTTGATCCTTCCTTCTGGCTAGAAGGTTTCCAATAATAAAGCGTCATACCAAGTAGTATGCTACCAATTTTATCTTAGCTTTCTCAGTCACTGCTGTTACAAATGCATAGAACAGACCCCTAGTTCAGACCATCAAAACCAACCATCTTCTATTACATAATGCAACTTATTTTCATATTAACACATCATAATTATTTAGGCAGAGCATGTAACCTAGTCACTGCAATGTTTTAAAGCACAAAGCAATATTTCTAATTCTTTACGGTGAACAGGGATGCTTGAAGTTTTCCTTCTGAGAAGTAAACTCCTCCCGCCAATTTTCTAAGTTTGCAGTTCAGGTTAAAAAAAGCAGCATACAGTGGCAGGGAGGAAATCAAACTTTATGGGATGAATGTTCACTGGTGTCCAACTGTTTCATCCCAACAGGCTAGCACTGTAAAATACTACATAAAATTCAAACTAGTTGACTACCTTATTCTGTGGCAGATCCTAAGCCTTGTTTCATTGTGTCTCCATCTCTCAAGGAAGAAAAACACCCCTGATGTTTTAAGAGAGTCCTGCCTTGGTAAAGTGCAATGCTAGGGTGGTTGGATCTTGTATTTTTTATTTCATAGGACAAACAGGCATCAGGAATAGCTCACAGTGCAAAAAGCTTTTCAGTTTTCTGTAGCCAACGTGTTGCACTTCAGAGACTGTTGCTAGAAAGCATGAGCAGAGAACCTGAGTCACACAGTCAGCTGAGTGGTTTCTCTCAGTCTCTCTCCCTTCTGGATCAGTGGGGACGCTGAAGTAAGCAAGCCCCTGCCGAGAGCCTCTAGGGCTTGCCCAGCAGGCAGTGCTGGAACTGACCCTCTCCTTCCTGCCTTCCTCTGTAACACAGGACATGTGGAAGCTCTTGAGAACATCTGCATCTCTCCTTGGGTAACCTTCTCAGTCAACCTTCCTCGGGCTCCAAAGACAATGAAGTGACTAGCAACACCTGAGACAGGGCATCCTAAACAGAACAAACTCAGACACTCCCGTGATAACATTTTCAATCTAAGAAACTCTTCTGCGATCTCTTAAGGCTGGGAGGAGTCTTGAAATAGCAGAAAGACACTGCTGGTTTAGGCCCGACATATCTAACAAGTGTGGAAACTTACAGAAAGGTTTTTCACAGCTTTACTATACGTTTGGAAAATCCATTTATCTTCTTGTAGAATCTTCTGCCATGTTGTGCTGACTTTGGCAAAACTGCAACGACAATGCAAACATATCAGTTACCTCCTAGGAAAGGGAAAACGTTTTTAATAGTGGGAATAACCATGTAATCTTTTTCTTTCATGTAGAAGATGGGATATGTTCACAGTTGTAGTCTTTAATTTGCCTTCTAGGGAAAAGACGCATTCTCCATATATATCGTGGCTTACATTGACAGCTCATGTTTTACTATATTAATACATAATACTAACCATTGAGTAAATGTCACCAGCCCCATATCTAAAACATTCTTAAGCCATCTCATTAGTTTGTTTACTTTCCCAATGAAATACAATGAGATCAATATACTTACTTTATTAAATCCATCTCACCGAGATGCCTTAAAATGTTTGCTAATATATGCTTCAGGTTCTTTTGGAAGAGTTCGGCAAGAATGTCTATTCTATCTAATCCCATTTTCTTTCCAATTAGGTTACAAAGTTCAACCTTTCCCCTAAAAACAATTCTGTCTACGGCAGCCCAAGACTTGAGATTTCTTTTACCACCTTTTTTCAAAGTTGAGCAAATCATTTCTTCATAATGGATTACTGGCAACAAAGTCTTCTTTGAAAACTGTGCTTGGTTTTGGTTCTTCATGAGGCAATGCTTTGGTGTGCCACAGAGATTCCCAGCCAAAGGTATACTATCCTCGTGTTCTATTGCATCAGCGTATTGGTTACTTAACATAGACGAATAACCACTGTCCTCATTCAATTTACTGTTTTCCAGTGCCTCCATTTCATAGATACCTTCATCAAGTCTCTGGGTTACTTGTTTGTTTTCTTTGTTATGTACAGGTCTTCCTTCATCTTCAAGATCTAGATTTCTGGTGGCCGCATGGTATGAGTCACTAAGGAGTATTTTCTGATGCTCTTCAGCACAGCTTTTACAAAAGCCTTCCTCATAATTCAAGGGGCAGGATTCTTCCAGACTTGTTTTCTCTACAGCAGATTTCAGTGGTGCAAACCCAGCGTGAAGAGACGTACAATCAAAATCACATTTCATTTTGAAAGAGTGGTTAAGGTTTGATTTCATTATTTTGTTTGTATCCTGCAAGAAACAACAAGGACAGTATTACAACACAGCATAAACTGCATCAGAAATTCTTTTTCTTATAAAGAACGGATCATGCCTTCCTTCTGCATTATGAATTTTAAGCTTTTATCTAACTCACCCTCTAGTGTCTAAAACACAGGCAACTAGCGGAACTAAGGATTTGAACAGCCACACATTAAATCTATGCAAAATCTTCTCAAAATTAGGGCTTTATGCTGCATATAACCGGGGCGAGAAAACTGGCTGGGTGACTGACTTTGTCACTGTTCCACCAGTACAGATGACTTTTAGACACACCAATGCCTCCACTTCCTACCCTCAATGCAGCGACATACTCGGGACACTTGCGGCGCCTGCAAGGGACGCCAGTGGCAGAGGCTCAATGAGTGACAGCAGGCCCCTGCAGGGGTATAAGCCAGGCCAGAGCAGCCTGAAGTTTGCATCCAAGGCCAGAGGCAATGCTGCCGATGCAGCCAGGTAGCCGGCATTTTTAGAAGGGGAGGAGGCTGGGTGGCACAGGAAAAGCTCGAGTGCTCACATGCGTGTGTAAATCACAATGGCAAGCAGCGACCATCAAACAATGGTCAAAGTGAAGTAAAGGTTACTTACAAGTATGATTGTAAGGGGGTGGGAGGTCGGTAGATATTATAGGGAAATTGAGCTTTTCTGGCCCCGTTTCTTTCCCCTCCCCCCGAAGTGCGGTGCTATCTATATTAACAATTGCGGGGGGATGGGCGAGGGCTGAAGGGGAGAAGGAAGCCATCTCTGTCGTCTTAAATCTAAGGGGAAAATAATTTTCAACATGCTTTGCGATGCGTAGGAAAAATAAGCTCCTCCATTTAAACTAGTTTTTTAAGGGATTCAAGCACTTCCAGCAGTTTCGGAAAAAAGTATTGGAAAAATGTGTTTCATGAACGTTTCAGAGAAAAAGTCCCTTCTTCGTACCTACGTTGGGTGGAAGAAAGGAGCAAAACCGCTTATGGCTTTGTACAGTGTGAGTCGGGGGAGAGATGCAAGCCCTCGCTAAGCCTCCTCCTCCCCCTCCCCCTCCGCTTGCGCGCCGCGAGCGAGCAGAGGAGCTTTTGGGCTGAAACCCTGCAGAACTGGGAAACGTCCCCCTCCTGCTTCGGGGCGCCAGGGCCGGCCCCGACCCCCCGGCGGAGCGGGCTCAGCCGCGGGCCCCCGCGGCGCTGTCA